GTAGTTTGAGCATTCTTTGGCATTGCCTTTCTTTGGGATTGGAATGAAAACTGACCTTTTCCAGTCCTGTGGCCACTGCTGAATTTTCCAAATTTGCTGGCATATTGAGTACAGCACTTTCACAGCATCATCTTTTAGGATATGAAATAGTCAAGGATCAAACCCATGCTCCCTCCACTGGAAGTACAGAATCTTAACCCTTGGGCCACCAGGGAATTCCCTGAATCTGCTTTTAACACTACTAATTTGTATACCTAAAAATGATTATGCTGGTAAATTTTTTTTTTTAAGTAGGGAAAAATAATCTAATCCCATGTAGATTTTCCTTCAGCATCTATACCCAGAACCTCACCCTAAACCAGATGCCCCTGCGGAGTGTTATCCCAAACCCATCATTAAGGCCCAGACACTTCAGCGGAGTGGCCCAGGGGCTCTGGAAGAGACCGAGAGCTCAAACTAGGGGAGCATGAGGAGCGACACTACAATGAAACTTTGGTAGAGAGGGAGAAATTAGGTAGAGAACAAGATAAAGGCTTGTTGTTTTCAGCTAAACAAAAAAAATCAGTTAAGCTAAAATATTCTAATGACTCTCTGCAGACAGTTGTGGCCTATAACTGGAGAACTGGAAATGTGGTGAAAAGGTTCAAAGGACATGAGCGTGAAATCACCAAGGTAATTGTCATATGATTAGCATCCCAAGGAAATTTGGAATTGAATAAAGGAATGTCTGTAGCTCTAGGTAGTAAGAGTGGTTGAGTATTTCAGTGTTAAGGAAAAATGCAGAGGTTTCATTTGATGTCACTGTGTGAAACCCCACTCACACCAGAGCAAACCATTCACTCAGCTATAGTTACAGGTATAGTAAACACACATTTTTGTTTCATTGTTAAGCCCTTCATAGCTTCCCAGGTAGCGCTAACCCACCTTCTAGTGAAGGAGATGTAAGAGACATAGGTTTGATCCCTGGGTTGGGAAGATCCCCTGGAGGAGGGCATGACAGTGTTCTTGCCTGGAGAATCCCATAGACAGAGGAGCCTGGTGGGCTACAGTCCATAGCGTCGCGAAGAGTTGGACACGACTGAAGCGACTTAGCATGTAGCACAGCACAGGTAGTCAACAGAGAAGAGCTGAGATTAACTCCCGCTGCCCTGTCCTAACTTATCAGGGTCAAGTATCGAAGCCTTACTAAGTGTTTACTCTAGGTAAGAAAATGACAAACTCTCCATACTGAGGAAACTTTTAGTCTAGTTGGGGAAATTTTTTAAAAGCCAGAAGCAGTTAAATAAAAGTTAATTTGTTAAAGAGCATGACAGAGTGGACTGAGATTCCAGCGAAAATGACAAGAGAATGTCAGATTATATAACTCCCCTCTCTGAAGTCCACCTACATGAACCAAAAATTCAGAAGCAAACTCCATCGTAATGAGACTAAGTTATCAGCCACAGTCAACACAGCACAGACTCTATTTAACTGCCAGATACAGTGCATTTTGAACCAGGCTGAGAGTGAACACCAGGCTCTGGCACTTTTATCTCCAGGCTTTTTCCATTTTTAACATCCAAACAAGCACACTGGAGCTTTCTTTTTTTTTCTTTTGAGCAGATAGCGTGTATTTACAAATCGAGCCAGTTCTTCAGCGCCTCTCGTGATAAGACGGTCACGATGTGGGACTTGCAGAGCTCCTCACAGCCAAGACAGCGGTTCTCTGGCCACACCATGGTGGTCACTGGACTGACCGTGAGTCCAGGTGAGGCAAAGCCAACGTCTTCCCAACACCAGCACTGTGGTACTTTCTGAAAAGCCCTGTCCCACGTCTGTCTCATGGACCATCTTCTCGCCATTGTTCCCTAAGATTCATCACAACTGTGTACCGGCTCCCGTGACAACACCCTGCTCTTGTGGGATGTGGGGACTGGACGGTGTGCAGAGAGCGCTTCAGTCTCCAGGAACCTGGTATGAACTCAAACCTGGTCCCGAGCAGGGCAACAGAAGGGAGCCTGGGTGAGGAGGAGCCCAGGAGAGAGACGTGGAGACCCCATGACCAGGCCTTAGAGTCTTGGGTCCTAATTACTGCTCACCCCTAACCAAGGTCTGCTCCAGAGAACAACTCCACTAGTTTATATTGGAGTTTTAAATGGTGTCCTCACTTATGCCTTCAAAACATAAGTTATTCCATATCTTCTGTGGGCCAGGCACTGTGCTAGAAGCAGGGTTAGTGGCCCAAGGCTTGGTTCCTGGCCTCCAGAAGCTCACAGTTTATGCTTATCGTGTGTTCAGTATATGTAACATTATGCAGAGAAATAAGCATGACCTTTTGCTATTTGTGTAATTTGATTTGCGTATGAAGACCAGTGTTTTCCGGTAGCAGACTGATGTCAACTCCCCTGCCTATGAGGTTAGTCATACCTGGGATTAAAACATGGATACATCACTTTTTAGCTGTATTAACCCAAGAAAGTTACTTGAAGTCTCAGCATCTTCATTTATAAAATGGGGAGAATTATATCACCTGACATGGCAGTGTCCTTTAGTGGTTGTCAGACATTAGTCATGTGATCTTTTTGAGTTTTGAAGACAAGTGCCAATGGCAAGATGTGCTTGCCCTGTGCCCTCCATATTTGTGCAGGTTGCGGGAAGAAATGAAAACCATGTTACCTTGGGTTGTTTTGAAAACTGTTTCACGCCTATCCAGCAGGGGGCTGCAGGGATCAAGGGAAACGAGGACACTCTTCCTGAACCCGAGGAGGCCTCAAGTTAGGGTTTCATTGGTCCCACTTGAAAGCAGAGGCTGCTCTCCTTAGCTGCCACTCGGCCAGTGGTGCTTGAGTTTCAGATACTCTAAGAGTGCTGCATGCATTTTGGGGCTCACGCCTGGTCCAGCTGCTTCCATTGCTGCTGATAACCTAGAAGCTGCAGGTCAAACATGACCGGTGGGCCTCTGCACCACATAAAATCCCTCTTAAGTCAGATGTGCTAGGCTCAGCATCCTTGAGAAGTGATGACAGAGATGCTGTTTAGTGACATTACAGAACTTAGAAGCGGAGGAATGGCGTGGTGTGGAGAAGTTTTGAAACTTTTGCATTTTCCAGGTCACTCACTTGTGCTGGGTCCCCCGAGAACCGTACGTACTCCAGACCTCCGAGGATAAAACCGTCAGGTGGGCTTACTGCGCAGCAGTGAAGGGGTTTCTGGTGAAGGTCTGGGGCTCCTGTGCTTGCCTGCCTCTGTTCCTACTCTGCTTCTTGGCGTCGCCATGCCTCTCCTTCCACTCCTCTGCCCTTCGCTAGAGCTGGCGTCTCTCTGATCTGGCCCCGCAGATCACCTGGAGAGAGGTTGAATGGCAGGAGGTCAGCTTGTTCTGGCTGGTTTTCAGAAGCAGCTGATTCTGACAGCCCTGACTGTGAGAACGGGTTCAGATTAACCTCAGGGTCAGTCGCTTACTTGTCCCACCCCTTCAAGTGGCCCTTACTGGGCTCCAGGTGTTCTCAATCACTCAGCCCTCAGAATCACCATCCCGGAAGTCAAATGAAGTAACTCCTTCTTAGACTAGAAAGCATGACCAGAAACATTGGATCTCAAGAGATTCTTCTTAGAAAATGGTAGGAAGAAGATAACAAAATTGAGACAAGAGGTCCCCAATTGGTCCCCAATTGACCCCATGGGCCAGTTGGCCAAGGCCTATAAATATTTTGTGTCTGACTCTGGAATGATGCCTGCTTCTGTCCATCGTGATATGTATCTTTAAAAATTTTTGTTAAATCACAGGCACAGAAATATTCTCTCTTGTCTGTTGAAAGTCGTACCCCAAAGGACCAAATTAACAAATTAACTCGAACAATTAAGATGCTTGGTCTAAATTCCCATTAATTAGATCTCAAAATAGAAAGAACTCAGATGTCATTCAGTTTGGTTATTTCCTGACAGCGTTAGCGTCTCTGAGACCAATCTGGTTCATGTTGCTGTTTTTGGGTAAATCACAGCGTTCTGTTCTGACTGGTCAAAGCCTACAAAGAGCCAAGACTTCGGCGTTCGCAGGCAGTCACGGGGGCATTTCAGCACATTTACTGCAAACTCATTCCCTGCCGTGATTTCTTTCAGACTGTGGGACAGTCGGGGGCTGCAGGTAGCTCATACATTTCCCACCCAGCAGCACATCCAGACGCACTGCGCAGTCAGTGAGGATGGACACAAGTGTGTCTCCTGCAGCAGCGGCTTTGGAGGGGAAGGCTGTGGAGCCACGGTGAGAGACTGCGGGGTCCAGGTGTTGGGGTGCTGACGAGAAATGACTTCCTCTGACCTCCTGCCTGTCCTGGGCTACACAGGCAGGCCTATTCCAAGTGCATACTGTACGGGAGCCTTTGCATTCTGGATGCTTCTTTCAAGAAAACTCCATTGCCTAAGCTCTCTGCATCGGTCATAGAAAAGAGAAATGTGATGGGAGTCAAGATAGGAACGCTTTAGACACAGAACCACCTGCTAATGTCCCTGGTCCCAGTAGAGTTTAGAAAGGAGATGACCTGTTTGAAGAATCAATGTGTTCCTATTGCATATGTGGTCACAGTAAAGGAATTCAAGTTCTTTGGGAAGCTTAGGGCTCTAGTGTTGGTCAAGGGCCCACCGCATCCTGAACCCATATACCTTTCCTTGCAGTTAATTTCAGAATAGATTGCCTTGGCTCCTCCAGAGTACCTTGGATTTCTCACTGTAAAATATTAGTTAAAAGATTTATCTAGTATCCAAATGGGATAACTACAACTCCCATTTTATTGTACATTTATTACGTGCAAGGCACTGGGCTGAGCACATCATGTGTGTTATCTCATTTTATCCTTAAAACAATCTTGGGTGTTTGGTATTACTGTAGTTCCCATTTTACAGATGGGGAAATAGAGGCATGGCAAGTTGAAATCTCTTGTACAAGACCGCACTTCTCATAAGTGGTAGGTTGAAGTGTTGAATCCCAGGCTTCTGATGTAGCATTTCTTCTCCAAGCTAAGCATTTGCATTTCCAGCTTCTATAGTTGTTCCTTGGACAACGAGTCAGTGTCCAGTGATTTCATTAATTTTTGGACACAATTCCGTGTGCTCTTGTCTGTGAACATTATTCTCCAGGTGTAGTCTGATTAGTATCTACAGGAGTGGGCTGGCAGAACTGTTGTCTCCCTTGTTATAAAATCTAGTCTTCCTGTACCGAGAGTCAGTGTCTTGATATTAAATCAGAAGGTCTGCACCTGTATATACTTATGAGAAGGTACTCCTAACTGTGGGGTCCCCAGGGGACCCACAGATGCCAAGAGGCTGATATAAGGCTGCTCTTGAGCTGTAGTAGAAAATAGGCTATCCTCTTTTGTCCCACTGTGCTGTCATGATGATAATGAAGAAGGCAACAACCCCCCGGTTAAACCATCTTTAACCTGGCTTGTTTGAGACATAGTTACTGCCTGACTGGATGGATGGATGGATGGGAGGGATGAAGATAAGGGTGTCTGTGTGAGGAGGTGGGTTGAGGGAATAGCATCATGAGAGTCTGGGGAGAGGATACTAGAGAATGAAGCATTTCTGAAGCTGGGAAATATGTATGCAAGCCAGCCCCTGTCATTACTTTGCAGCTATGGGACCTAAGGCAGACACGGAACAGAATCTGTGAGTACAGGGGGCACTTCCAGACCGTTGCGTCCTGTATCTTTCTACCCAGAGCTTTAGCCTCGATGCCTGCAATTGCTACCTCATCACATGACTGCAAGGTGAAGATCTGGAATCAAGACACGGGAGGTAAGGAGCCTGCCTCTGGTGCTTCTCAAAGATACATGAAGTCCTGCAGGTTTCCTTAATACTCTTTCTTCCATTGCTCAGCATATATGGAGTCACCCATGTCCTGCCACTGTCCACTCCCATAGTGGTTAAGAAATGACATCAGGAAACCAGATTCCCTGTCCAACCTCTGGCTAGGAGCTGTCACCATGTAATCCCTGGTATCATGTTGTACAGACGCCTTCCTAAAAGCTCAAATGCATCTGGTTCTTTCATTCTTTCTACCTGTAGTTCCTCATCATGTTTTAACTTGTGATGCTCAGAATGTCTGGAAAAGCAAATAAGAATTGCCACTTTAAGATTCATGTTCAAGGGCTGAAATGAGAGCCTCAGTTCGGTGGGGGTGAGGTGTGGGGTAAGGATAGTCTCAGAAAGACTGCCCTCTCTTGACTCTGCAGCTAAGGTTTGGTATCTAGAAAGGTCATGCAAAGCGCCAGAGAAAGACATGCTTTAGGGAATAAGCTCCCCATAGTTTCCTCAATGTGGTGGTGTGCTGGAGCCAGCTTCTGCTCACTGACTGTTAAATATTCAGGAATATTTAATATGGTCATGGCAGGAGTATTTACCTCACAAAAATTGGCAAATGCTGTGAATGAAGGTTTTTTTTTTTCTTTCCAAAAAGCCAGTTTACCAGCATCCCACTGCCTTCATACTATTCTGTCCTGGACACTGGCTTCTGGCAGACACAGGGCTAACGTTCATTTAGAGACCCTCAAGCCAAATCCCTTCAACAGTCATCTCCCAGAAACTTAGCTTCTAGCAGGGGATAGGGTCGCCCCCCTCAGACGTGTGGGGTCATGTCTAGCGGCTTCCGTAGTGAGTACAGTCAGGTACCCTGACCTGAGCTTGTGGGAGGAGAAGCTGTTCTAGATTCAGGGATCAAAACCTGAGACCAGGGAGGACCAGGTGTGAAAGCGCCACTCTGCCCGCCAAGTGTGCACGTGTGCTCTTAGAATGAAGAGCAAGATGCTGACGGAGGCGAGTGGGTCAGCTGGCAGCCCCAGACCGCCCTGCAGGTGCCCTGTCATCCTTTGTCCTAAAAGGACAAAGCAAGACCCCAGGGCGGCGCAGCTGAAGATCAGTGTCCTTATCTTTTGCTCTGCGCTTTGTTCTCTGGGCGCGCACCCGAGGGCAGCGTTTTAACACGGCCTTGCAGTGAGGCCCCAGTTGTCCAGTGTACTTCCGGGTGGAATACATCCTGTGCTGATGACCTGGGGTCGACCTTCCCACTGAACGCTTCTCAGAGGCACCGAGTGCCTCTCGCACCTGGGTTAGATGCATATACACAGCACGGGCTTCATTTCTGTGGGCTTCATTTCTGTAGGCTTCTTACAAAGACGGCACCTTTCATGATATGGCAGCCTTGGTCTAACGTGCCGGTTCCCCCTTCCTCCCCAGCCTGCCTTTTCACCTTGTCTCTGGATGGATCAGGACCTTTGACTTCCCTGGCGGTGGCCGACACCATCTACTTATTGTGTGCAAGTTTCAGCAGAGGAATTCACTTACTCAGGGTGGACCACAGCCAAGGGCTGGAACTGCGGGAAGTGGCGGCATTCTGAGGCCAAGAGACCTTCACTGGACAAGAGCAAACTGTGGCTCCTTCTTTCTCAGTGTGACTTTGTGTTTTTTCATGTTCTCTTGAGGGGAGGGTGATGTGGAGATGATGTTCTTTGCTTAGGTTCCCTTGGAAGATATGTCAGTGTTAGAAACCAGTTTAAGTCAAAATCAGGTGTAGAGATTAGTAATATGGACTCAAATATGGGTCTCAATTGAAATTAAATCAAAGTACAAGTTTTAGTGAGCTTTGGGGACTACTCTTTAAGAAAAATGAGTTTATGGGCTTCTTGCCTTTTGAGATGGCCCACATTCTTGTCTGTGGAGTGTTTCTCCCAAGGCCGTCTTACCTTCTGAGATGGATTGCATTTTGTTCATGGAATGTGTGTCTTTCTTAAAAAAAAAAAAAAGGTTTATGGCTCAGAACGATGGATGTGGACGGATGTGGATGTAAGAGGGAGAGTCAGAACACAGGTCTGAGTCCACTGAACTGAGCTTTTCCATGTCTCCACAAAAGAGTGTAGCGGAGAGAGAAACCTCTGTGGTTGCCTCACAGTTATCTAGGTGGGAAAGGTTAGTGCAGCTCCATGGAAGAAATGGATTGCAGACATGAGATTAAGCGCTAATCACAGCCCCTTCCCAATGTGAAGAATCAAAGTTAGGGCACGGAAGCAGGGCAAGCCACCAGGGCAAGTGCTGCATGAGCAGGGCCACAGTGCCTTGCCCGGAGTTAGGCGGATTTTCAAACCCATCCCACGGATAAGGGAGTGCAGAGATGAAGGCTAAGAAGAATTTCATTTGTGTGTTTTAATATTTTTACTTAGCGAGGCAAAGGGAATGTCTGCAATGACATTGGAACACATAGAAAGAAGTAGAAAGATGGGCTCAGCTGTGCCAGCCGCCGAGCCCCCGTCGGAGAAGAGGAGCAGGCTGCTCCCGTCTGTCTGGGTGGTCCCCAGGAGATTGGTCCCGAGCCTAGTGGTCACAAGCCTGCTAGTGACCTAGCAGGGAAAGTAGACTCACTCCTGCCTCCAGGCAAGCCCACACACAAGGCAACTGAGGCCTGGAAAGTCCCTTTCTGATGAGTCCCAAAGAGTCCTCTCTGGCCCTTGCCTGTCCCTGATACCAGTGGCTGGCAACCTTCTTCCATGTCCCCCTCTTGCTCCTCTTTGGGGCCAGCTGCCCCATGCTGTCTCCAGCCACTGGAGAAGAGCCTCTTAAGCTGATGCAGAGCATCCATCAGACCCAGGTTGGACCCTCCATTTCCCCATGCAGCTGGATGATCTTGGGAAAGTTATAAAACCTCAGTTTCCTCACTTAGAAGATGGAGCTCATAATCCTAATTTGCTCACAGGGCTATTTTGAGAATTGGACCATGTTAAATGCCAAGCAAACTGTTGGATGCTTACAGTTGGCAGCTCCAGCTCCTCACTGCCCTCTCTGCCCAGACTAAATGCTGTCCTCCCCATGTGACACATTCACCACTCCTTCACCCATCCTCCTTAGATCGTGACTTCTAACCCTTCAGTCATTGTTCAGCTTCCCTGTGATCCCTTCAGTTACAGATCTTTGAGCCCTAGAAGGACGTGGTGGGAGAGGAAGCTGCCTCACTGAGCACCAACAGGTGGCTGAGCACACATATTCCCACGTGGTTGTTAGTACCCTGTCACAGATGAGGAAACTGGGGCCTGGGGACATGCAGTCCTCTGCCCGAGGTTATACATGTGGGGAGGAAGGGGAGGAGCCCTTTGCCTCAGCCCTTAGCCTCTGCATGATGTCACAAAGTCCGCTTCAGGAACTCTTAGACCATGACACTGTGTCTTTTCTAGACCAGTTATCAACTTCTTGGCTCCAAGGAGATCCTCCTGACAAGGGGCCTGGGAGTAGTAGACAGGTGTCTCAGGGAAAGCCCTAGCGAGTCTTAAACTATTAGTGCTACAACTGAGCCCTTTTTCTAGGAAGAAGACAGAGAATCTAAGGGAGTGGGTTGGGAGGGGTTCCCAGGGAAGACTGAGAAAATTAAAGGGCTCTGACAAGCCCAGTTCTATTACCAATTAAATCGTTTCCCTACACTCTACACCTGCTTGATGTAAAAATTCCTTATCTGTGCATTTTAAGTAGAAAATAGATTCATAAATGCACGTTTTTATAAGATTTTTCAGTCTTTTATGCCCTAATGCATTCATTTGGTCATCGAACATCTCATTTTAGAGGCTATTCCTCTAAAATCACATAAGGGAATCTTCCAAAGACAGTTGACTTTTTTTTTTCTTTTTTGGCCTTACCACACACAGGCATTTGGGATCTTGGATCCCTCACCAGAGATCAAACCCATGTCCCCTGCAGTTGAACTGTGGAGTCTTAACCACTGGACTGCCAGGAAAGTCCAGCTTTTTTCTATGAAAGTATTTAAGCCCTTGGAATCTGGCTAATTATATTGCAAAATTTTTTAAAATTCATATATTTACTTACATAAGTTTAAAATATTTATATATTAATATTTAAGGAAAATGCATAGTGATTATTAATGACCTTTTTAAAATATTTATTTGGTTTTTTTGGTGGCTTAAACTATCTTATGAGGACCTTTATTTTTTCTAAAAGGTTAAAAATAACCTGGAAAAGGGTGTTTTCTTTAAAATAACTACCTGCAAGTATCGTGATGCAGTGAACATCATTGGTATCCCCACAGTATCAGACAAGTCCTGATTATCACTGACTTCCTGAACAATGATTATTAAAGAAGGTTCCTGAAGAATTCTGAGTTTACAGTCACCGAAACAGAAATAATATCTGATCTTTCAGGACAGCAGCAGAAATGTGCCTTCAGATATGTGTTTTCAGCATTGGTATTGAGAGAGATTGTTTTCAGTCTATAAGGACCTTCGTTTTGATACAGGAATTGCAAGTATAGAACTCAAGTCATTTTTTTTTTTTTAATATTTTAATGCTGAGAAAAAGGAACTTAGATTTTTCTGATCGGTCTTTTGAAAGAATAATTATTAAAGAGCAATTTCATCATTAAAAACACAGCAGAGTGCTAGTTGTTCCTGAAATGGGTGCTTCTTGGCACAAGGTTTCCAGCTAAGATAGCATTCCCAGCTAGGCATGGCCATGAGAATAAGCTGGTGTCAGTGGATTGGGAGTGGCAGTGATGTGTGTGTGTAACTTCCACCTTATAAGCACAAAAGGCACATATTTGTCCAGGACTTCCCCTCTGGGCCCCTTCCCCCTAGGTGTGATGCAGACTGCCAGGAGTGGCTTCCACTATTCGGATAAGGATAGGATGGGACAGCAAGAAGGAGGAACCAGGGCCCCAGATAACTTCAGGAGCTGATCTGTTCCAACAGCCTGACTAGCTGAACTGTGACTTGAAAGAGAACATCATTCTCTTTAAGTCACTGTATATGTATATATATATAAATTTTTTTAGTTCAAGTTTAGCCATCACAAAGTTTCAAATGTCTTAAATTTAGAGCTGGTTGAATTTTCATGAACTGAACACATGCTGGTAACCTAGATGAACAAGTGTGATGCATCCAGGGACCCAGATGGCCTCCCACATATACCCCCCCAGAAGTGTCTGCTCAGGGATTTGTCACAACGTAAATTGGCTTTGTCTGCTTTCTACTTGATATAAAATCATATTGTAGTAGATGGAAGATATGGCCACAAACTTCTCCCATCCCTGTACATGTGACCCTTTGCCAACTAACTTATCACTAATCAGCCAGTTCAGTTCAGTTCAGTCACTCGGTTGTGTCTGACTCTCTGCGACCCCATAGCTGCAGCACACCAGGCCTCCCTGTTCATCATCAACTCCCGGAGTTTATTCAAACTCATGTCCATTGGGTTGGTGATGCCATCCAATCATCTCATCCTCTGTCATCCCCTTCCCTTCTTGCCTTCAACCTTTCCCAGCATCAGGGCCTTTTCAAATGAGTCAGTTCTTCACATCAGGTGGCCGAAGTATTGGCGTTTCAGCTTCAGCATCAGTCCTTCCAATGAATATTCAGGACTGATTTCCTTTAGGATGGACTGGTTGGATCTCCTTGCAGTCCAAGAGACTCTCAAGAATCTTCTCCAACACCACAGTTCAAAAGCATCAATTCTTCGGCATTCAGCTTTCTTTATAGTCCAACTCTCACATCCATACATGACNAGTTTGATCTCTGGTTCCTCTGCCTTTTCTAAGTTCAGTTTGAATATCTGGAATTTCTCAGTTCACATACTGTTGAAGCTTAGCTTGGAGAACTTTGAGCATTACTTTGGTAGCGTGTGAAATGAGTGCAATTGTGTGGTATGGTAGTTGGAACATTCTTTGGCATTGCCTTTCTTTGGGATTGGAATGAAAACTGACCTTTTCCAGTCCTGTGGCCACTGCTGAGTTTTCCAAATTTGCTGGCATATTAAGTGCAGCACTTTCACAGCATCATCTTTTAGGATTTGAAATAACTCAACTGGAATTCCATCACCTTCACTTGACTTTGCATTCCAGGATGTCTGACTCTAGTCCAGTGATCACTCCATTGTGGTTATCTGGGTCATGAAGTCCTTTTTTGTATAGTTCTTCTGTGTATTCTTGCCACCTCTTCTTAATATCTTCTGTTTCTGTTAGGTCCATACTATTTCTATCCTTTATTGTGCCCATCTTTACATGAAAATTTCCCTCGGTATCTCTAATTTTCTTGAAGAGATCTCTAGTCTTTCCCATTCTGTTGTTTTCCTCTGTTTCTTTGCACTGATCACTGAGGAAGGCTTTCTTATCTCTCCTTGCTATTCTTTGGAACTCTGCATTCAGATGGGAATATCTTTCCTTTTCTCCTTTGCCTTTTGCTTCTCTTCTTTTCACAGCTATTTGTAAGGCCCCTCAGGCAGCCATTTTGCCTTTTTCATTTCTTTTCCATGGGGATGGTCTTGATCCCTGCCTCCTATACAGTGGCATGAACCTCCATCCATATTTCTTCAGGCACTCTGTCCATCTGATCTAATGCCTTGAATCTATTTGTCACTTCCACTGTATAATCAAAAGGAATTTGATTTCGGTCATACTGGAATGGTCTAGTGGTTTTCCCTCCCTTCTTCAATTTAAGTCTGAATTTGGCAATACTATTCTGAATTTGGCAATAATGGTAATCTATTATTAGTATCAATGGCAGTCTATTGATGGAGTCTATTTTTTCCATCCCTTGAATCTGCAATGGCCTTTGGCTTGGCTGACCGACAGAATGCAGAGGAACAAATGGT